CCTCTGGTCCAGTGTTGATCTCTAGTCTAGTATGGACCTCTGGTCCATTGTTGACCTCTTATCCAGTATGGACCTCTGGTCCAGTATGGCTCTCTGGTCCAATATGGATCGTTGGTCCAGTCCTGACCATTCCTTGACCAGTATTTTGCTCCAACTGAACCCGTTTCTCGGTCCAGGAAACTGATGGTTACCTTCATCTGAACCTTCATAGCTGTGGTTCTCCTGGCCCAGCTTCTTGATGCTCTGCAGTCTCACGGAGCCCGTTGGCATGTTGCGTCGTCTTGGACAGAAAAAAAAGCCACAAGTTTGTCTGATGTTTCAAACGGTAATTGTACTTCCAAGCAGGTTTGTTTTCAGCCACGAAGCAGGAATTTACCGATGAGTGGTTGCTGTTATCCTTGGTTCAACCCGACCATGAGTCCAGGCCCGTTAAAACCAGCTGTCCGGTGTCTGCAGCTCCAGGACAGCAGTTGTGACAGCTTGTCCTCTGGATACAGGTGGACACCCTCGTGGAGTCACGTGTCTTTGTTTGGGCTTGGTTGCTTTGTAAAGGTGAGTGTCCTTTGGGGTGTTGCCACTGATGAGGTCGATCACCTCACCAGAACAAACAGATCACTGGTAGAGGTCCAGAGGCTCGTATTCACCGAACAAGAACCTTCACAGACAGCTGTCATTTAATAACAAGGTATAAACGATTATGAATCTTGTTCTTAACTGAAAGAAGAAAATTTTTTAGAAATGTTTATTGTTTGAAAGAAAGGGCTCAGTTTTCAGTTGGTTTGATGAAGAACTTGATGAACTCCAAGACTTCATAAAAGATCCACTCAGGCCAGAGGGTCGTTCAACATAAATCCCAAACTCTGGGACTAAAAAAAGACCAAAGACGTCCAAGAGCCGTCCATTCTTCCAAAATAATGATTAATAACCACCCGGCTCCAGATTTCTTATTATTATAAGAATAACAGAACCCCCCACAAGATTACATGTAAAGGTCCAGGATTACATGTGAACCCCCAGGGATTGCATATGAAACCCCCAAGATTACGTGAAAGGTCCAGGATTATACTCTATGTGAAACCTATAAAATAACATTTGAAACATCCAGGATTACATGTGAAACCTCCTGTAGTACATGTGAAACCTCCTGTAGTACATGTGAAACCCTCAGAATTACATGTGAAAGGGCCAGGGTTCTATGTGGGGGTTATTTTAAAGATCTGATTTCCATTCATCCATTATCTTTTACCCGCTTTGTCCATTTTGGGTCACGGGGAAGATCAAATTTTTCTAATTTAATCTAAATTAGGATTACAGGATTACATGTGAAACTTCTGAGGTTATATGTGGAAGGTCACATGTGAAACCTATAAAATGACATTGGAAACATCCAGTATTACATATGAAAACACCAAAATTACATGTGAAACCTCCAGAATTATATAGGCAGCCCCCAGGATTACATGTGTAAGGTCCAGTATTATATGCGAAACCTATAAAATGATGTGAAACATCCAGTTTTATATGTGAAACTTCTGGGATTACGTGTGAAAGGTTCAGGATTATATGTCAAACTCCCAAGATTGCATGTGAAAGGTCGAGAATTATATGTGAAACCTTTAAAATGACGTGAAAAATCCAGGGTTACATGTGAAGCCTAAGGGATCACACGTGAAACCCCCGAAATTACATGTGAAAGGTCCAGGTTTATATGTGAAACCTATAAAATTACATGGGAAACCCCCTGGATTACATGTGAAATCTCCATGTGAATCCCAGTAAATGTGAACATTTCCACATGAGAAATGAGTTGTTCACATGTGAAACATGAAGCTTTGGAACATTTTCCAGATGTTTGAAACCCATTTGAACTCTTGAGCAAACTATGTGGGACTTAACGTGAAACTGATAAAATGTTCATAGTTTCCACATAGAAATCAGGTTTTCACATTTTCTTCAGATTCCCATGTTCTCGTGTTAATGGCACATTTTCACATGTGCTTGTGTTTTTTTCTGTAATGAACATTAAAGATTATAATTAATGCTTTTAATGGGTTAGAAAATGTAATAATTTTTACAAGCTGCTGTTAAATGTCTAAACTTTAACATTAAGTGAGTCACCAAACGTAACAAATAAAACTTAGAGGCTAAACACAAAACAGCTGCTTCATTATTATTAGCTGATGGTACTTATTATACTTAACAGATCCTTAAAATAAACAGCTAAATGTAGCTGTTTTTAGCTAATTGGTTGTTAGTAATGTTAGCTAAAGTCTGTGGATGATTATTTTCCAAAAACTGAACTAATCTGTCAGCTCTGTGGCTGTTTGTGGCTGCGTATGGTTCTTCCACATGCCGCAGTCAAATTAATTTTTTTTCGTCTAACAGTATTTTTTCTTAAAACTGTTTAATCCAGAGTCGACCAAACGGCAGCTGTCGTTCTTTTTGTTCTGAAGGTTTTCTTTACTAACAGTAAAAATTCTGATGCAGAAGTTACAAAAAGAACCCTGTTTTTATAAAAAAAACTAGATTTAAACTTCTTCAACAGGCCACGCCCCTCTGACTGAAGCCCCTCCCCCCCCCACCCCCCCCCGACTGAAAAGTCCACTTGTTGTGGACCAGCCAGGTCTACGGATCGGGGGTGTCCCGCCGGTCATTCACCGCTGCCTCCACGTGTTGTCAGAAAACAGTTGAGTCTGAAACACAACTCTGAGAAATCCTTTTCCTGTGTCTCCAGAAGTCCAGAAGGACTTAAGGACGGACCGAAGGGACAGCTGGTCTGGGACAGATGCAAATGTTTTCTGCTGTTTTCATACAGAACCTTCAGACCTGCTGGTTTAAAACACATCTACCTGGTACTGAAATTTCAGTTCCTGAGGACTGAGTCCCCCACAGGAAGTCCATCAGAACCCTCTGCTGCCCTCTGGTGATAGAAATGTGGACTAGGAAGCAAAAGGCAGGCTTGTTCATCAGGATCTTCCTGGTTTGGGTCCAAACTGGCCCCAGGCCTCGTCCTGGAGGTCTGGAAACAGTTTCAGATTTCTGAGACCTCCTCTGGGACCCAACCCGTTCAGTCCGGCTCGGCTCCAGGAGCTGCTGGGTCTGGACTCGGGTCGAGACGACTGAAGCTGCAGAATCTGGTTTTTTGGATGGAGACCAACAGTCGGGTTTTCCTGCGTCTGTTAAAAACGTGGACTGAGTGAAGGATCCAAGTTCTTTCACTGAACTGGCTGAGCGATGGTGCAGCGGGTGTTTTCAGAGGAACTTTGTGATGAAACTCAACCATCTTTGACTCACCTGAAGAACCGTGAGTATTCACTCGCTGCTCTGTCACTTTTCTTCCTGCAGTTCTGGAAAAACATGAAACTCATCAAGACTCTGACGGAACCAGTGAGACGAGCCGGTCCTGTTCGGAGCCACAGCTCCAGCTTCAGCAGAAACACGGTTCAGGGTTAATGGGTCAAGGAAGTTGGACTTGACTGAACGTCTGTTTTCACAGGTTGTGTGATGGTTGGAGAAGTTACCGACCCAGACGGTCTACGTTCCTGCCCTCTGGTCCTGCCCTCTGGGTAGAGCCTGACAGGACCAGATCCTGGATCCAGAACGTCTAGATAAGTTCTCTCTGCAGGGTAGCTGGACTCTCCTTAGAGATTGGGTGAGAGGTTCAGTTCTCCAGGAAAGACGGAGTAGAACCGCTGCTCCTCCACACCCAGAGGATCCAGTTGAGGTGGTTCAGACATCTGGTACAGATGGACCCTGGATGCCTCCTTAGGGAGGTTCTCTGGCCAGGTCAGACTGGGAGGAGACCCGGGGAGACCCAGGACATGTTGGATAGACTCTGTCTCTCAGCTGGTCTGGAACATCTGGGAGTCCTCCCAGAGGAGCTAGAAGATGTGTCTGGACTTCCCTGATCACGAGACCTAAGTCCAGAACAAGAGTTGGGAAAAACCATCATATGATGTTCAGTGCCATTGTGAAGCAGAACAGGACAGGAATCCCTTCAGACCAATAAAACCTCCGTACCAGCTGAATTTAAAAACAATGATTCAACATGGAGACACTTGTCTTTGTGACGTATCACATGATGAGCTGCTCTGTCTGTCTGTCTCATTAAGAGCACTGTCAGGGAGTGACCCTCTGTCTGTCTGTCTCATTAAGAGCGCTGTCAGGGAGTGACCCGTCAGGGAGTGACCCGTCAGGGAGTGACCCTCTGTCTGTCTCATTAAGAGTGTTGTCAGGGAGTGACCCGTCAGGGAGTGACCCGTCAGGGAGTGACCCTCTGTCTGTCTGTCTCATTAAGAGTGCTGTCAGGGAGTGACCCGTCAGGGAGTGACCCTCTGTCTGTCTGTCTCATTAAGAGTGCTGTCAGGGAGTGACCCGTCAGGGAGTGACCCGTCAGGGAGTGACCCTCTGTCTGTCTGTCTCATTAAGAGTGCTGTCAGGGAGTGACCGCCGCTTTAACATTCCCTTTCATCGTTAATCTTGTTTCTACTTCAAACGTCGGTCTTTCCTCAGATTAGATTATCAAAACGTTAATCTCAGTGATGACTTCAGTTCACGTCCCTAACGGCAGAGTGGCTCGTCGTATCGTCAATAACAATCATTGATCGTTTCTGTCATGAAACATCCAGAGTCTGATTGAATCTCAGGCACCGTCTGAGCCTGCAGACGTTGGACCCTCAGCTTTTAAAGGTTTTCTGGAGGAAGTCCTGGTCCGGGTGGTTCTATCAGCTGTTAATGAGTGACAGAACCATCTGAGAGCGCAAAGATCACCATGTTCCTGCTGGACCTTTTGTTCTCTGAAACCCCACCAGAGTCCAGAGACCTGATACAGCAGAGACCAGGAATCCCGCCTCGATAGAAGAATAGATCCAAGAACCTGACCCAACAGTCCGTACGGCGCAACACGGTGGTGGCTGCGTCATGCTGACGGGACCACACTGGTGGGGGTGCAGGAAGGACAGACAGATCTGGAAGGAAACCTGTTTGAGACTGGACCCATCCAGCAGGTCCAAGACCCTGAACATCTTGGTGGTTCAGGGCAGTGGATCCCAAACCTGGGTCGAGGACTGATGTCTATAAACTAAACTAAATTAATAATAATTTGTTTAAAACAGGGCAGCACGGTGGCGCAACAGGTAGAGCTGCTGCCTCTCAGTGAGCAGGTCCCTGGTTCAAACCCCGGTCCAGGGGCCTTTCTGGGTGGAGTTTGCATGTTCTCTCCGTTCATGCGTGGGTTTTCTCCGGGTGCTCCGGTTTCCTCCCACAGACCAAAAACATGCATGTTAGGCTGATTGGTAACTCTAAATTGCCCCTAGGTGTGAGTGAGAGAGTGAATGGTTGTTTGTCTCGTTTGTCTCTATGTGTCCCTGTGATGGACTTGACCCGTCCAGGGTGTCCCCCGCCTCTCGCACAGTGATTGCTGGACATTGGCACCAGCGACCCCCGTGACCCAAAATGGAAGGAGCGGGTAAAGATAATGGATGGATGGATAGTTTAAAACACCAAACTAATGATCATAAACTGATGAAAGGCTTCAGAAGTTCTTTATACTGTTTCTTATTTCTGACACCTGGAGAGACTTCAGGAGTCTTTAATGTTTGGTGAAGTTCAGGAACCACTGGCTCTGGATCTGCTCGAGGACCTCAGTCCCTCTGAGAACCTTTGATTTGTTTTAACGGCTCCTGTCAGTTCAAAGGAGCAGAGTGCACCTGCAGTGGTGGTTGTTTCCGCTGCTGAAGGTGCCGCTACAGTTGACCCAGAGAAGGCGACGGTCCAAGTGTTTTGTCTCCTGGCCCAAACTGTCCACTTAACAGGACTCACAGGGCACAAAGGTTTTATGTTTTTAATACACAACTAATATTTTTGTGGTTTAGTTTTGTTCATTTGAACTTCACAACAATGGCGATGATGTAAAAACACGTTTCAGTGGAAGAATGAAAGAAGACACACGTTGGTGTAAGATGAGTCGTGGATCGTTGAAGATCCAGTGGCCGGTAGAGCCTTGGAGTGAATCTTTTGTTTGGCTCGCAGTTTGAATCGCACCTGAGAGTTTTTATAAAAGTCTTCTGGACCATCAGAACCACCGAGTACCAGCCTAAAAGGTTGGTTGAAGCACTGACAAGCTGTAGCAGGTTCTCTGAAGGTCTGACGGGCCACTGATGGAGGCTGAACTGAAGGTCAACCATGTCTGGTCTAGATCGCCTCTAATCAGGATTAAATCAAAAACAGTTTTTATAAATGTCTACTTAGTGTAGTTACATGTTTGGTTCCAAAACATGCACCTGGCAATCCATCACGTGCACTGCTGCACCCATGACCTGTTCGGGTTCTTTAGGACTGTCTTTAAGGTGACGTCACGCTGAACGACACACGAACGTGACCGCTCCAAGAACACTTCCAGAACATAAACAACATGTCAGCAGCATGTCAACAACATGTCAACAGCATGTCAACATGTCAACAACATGTCAACATGTCAACAGCATGTCAACAGCATGTCAACAGCATGTCAACAACATGTCAGCAGCATGTCAGCAGCATGTCAGCAGCATGTCAACATGTCAACAGCATGTCAACAGCATGTCAACAACATGTCAACAACATGTCAACAACATGTCAACAGCATGTCAACAACATGTCAACAACATGTCAGCAGCATGTCAGCAGCATGTCAACATGTCAACAACATGTCGACATGTCAACAGCATGTCAACAGCATGTCAACAACATGTCAACAACATGTCAGCAGCATGTCAGCAGCATGTCAACATGTCAACAGCATGTCAACAGCATGTCAACAGCATGTCAACAACATGTCAACAACATGTCAACAGCATGTCAACAACATGTCAACAGCATGTCAACAACATGCCAACAGCTTGCCAACAGCATGTCAACATGTCAGCAGCATGTCAACAACATGTCAACAGCATGTCAACAGCATGTCAACAGCATGTCAACATGTCAACAGCATGTCAACAACATGTCAACAGCATGTCAACAGCATGTCAACAACATGTCAACAGCATGTCAACAACATGTCAACAGCATGTCAACAACATGTCAACAGCATGTCAACAGCATGTCAACAACATGTTTTCGGTCCCACCAATCCTTCCTTCTGTTTTACCTTTGAATGGCTCTCCTATCGAGTTTGTCGATTCCTATAAATACTTGGGTATCTTGGTCAACTCGCATCTCTCCTTCAAGCCCCATGTAGAAAACCTAGTAGGGAAACTGAAAGTTAAAAAGGGTGTCACTCAATCTCACACAAATCATTGACACCCCCACCAGCCCAAACAAGCAATGTCCTGATAGATTTCCCATTTTAGACCTCTTTTTAACAAATATGCCCCATAAATTTCCTGGGTGGGGTGTTTTTGCAGATGATATGAGGGATCATTGCGTTATCGGAATTATCAGGGACACTAAACTACCTCGCTTCAAGCCTAGACTAATTCAAAAAAGGGACTGCTCATACCATCACAGTCCCTGTGACCCACATCTTCAATCTCTCCATAAGACAAAACTCCATCCAGACTCTTGAAAACAGCCTTTGTTCTTCCTTTGCTGAAGGGAGGAGACCCCCCCTCACTGAACAACTATGGACCAATCTCTAAACTCTGCATTTTAGCCAAGGTTCTAGAAAAACTGATAAACTCTCAAATCAAAAATGACCTGGACTCATTTAACATCTTACCTCCACATCAATCTGGTTTCAGGAAACAACACAGCACAACCACTGCTTCACTGAAGGTTCTTAATGACGTTGTTGAAGCACTGGATGCTAAGGATTATTGTGCTGCACTTTTCTTAGACCTGTCTAAAGATTCTGACACTGTGAATCAGAACATCTTGTGTCAAACTCTCAGAAATCTGTTTCTCAGATCACACCATTGGTTGGTTCTCTAACTATCTCTCAGACCAGAGACGATGTGTTCAACATAATGGTACTTCCTCCAGTTATTTAACTGTCAACAATGGTGTACCACAAGGCTCAGTCTTAGGACCCACCCTCTTTACAATCTACATAAGTAATGTAGGTCAGAGCATCCCTGATGCATCCATACATTTCTATGCTGATGACACATTTGTTTATTGTCGAGCTAAAACAGTTGATAAGGTTTTCCAGCTTTTGCAATTTAACATCATCCAGTCAGATTTGTTCCACCTCAAACTTGTCTTAAATGCCAATAAAACCGAAGGGATGCTTTTTTCAAACAGGAAGTCGGTCCCAGCAGTTCTTCCTCTGATTTCATCCTCAAATGGTGTCCCCATTGAGTTTGTTGATTCCTATAAATATTTGGGTATCTTGGTCGACTCTCATCTCTCTTTTAAGCTCCATGTGGAAAACTTGGTAAAGAAACTGGATGTTAAACTGGGTTTCTTTTTCAGAAACAGATCCTGTCTAACTCTGAACCCTGAGGAACTCCTTGTATCTGTGACTTTCCTTCCCTCCATTGATTACTGTGACATTATTTACATGAACGCTCCTACAAGAACCCTGCAGATGTTGGATGCTGCAGATGTTGGATGCTGCAGATGTTGGATGCTGTCTATCATGGTGCACTAAGATTCATAACTGGCTGTGATTATCGTACCCACCACTGCACCCTGTATCCACTGGTTAACTGGTCATCATTAACTTCACGCAGACTCTCTCACTGGTACATCTTCATCTTTAAACCACTTCCTGGTCTGCTGCCTTCATACATCTCCTCCTACATGTCTCTGTGTGAGTGCAGCTACAGCGTGCGCTCTCAGGACATCATTACCTGCAGCGTTCCCTCAGTGAGGACTGAACTAGACAAAAGGGCCTTCTCCTCCTCCGCTCCTGTTTCCTGGAATATCTTGTAAAAACATCTGAAGCTCTCGACCTTTGACCTCTCTAAGTGGCTTTAAGAATCTGTTGGACTCCTGGCAGGGACCGATGCAGACATGTTCCTGTTTTTAGTTTCTACATTCGCCTTAGAATCTAGCTGTTTTTTGATACTTTTCCTTTTGACTGTCCTTTTGGTTGCCATTGTATTTTAACTTGTTAAAAAATAATAATTTGTTCGCCTCTTTTATGGTTGTCCACTGTTGTCATCAGTCTTTGTTGAAATCAGGTCTCTCTTGTAAATGAGTCCCAGAGGCTCAGAAATAAAGGTTGAATGAATGAACCAGTGGTTTGTTAAAGGTTCATCTTTAACCCTCTGCTGTTTCTGCAGCTCAACAACTTCTGGTCTGCAGGGCCTGGAGCAGAGGAACTTCCTCCCTTCATGATCTTCTGACCATAAAATCCATGAACCTTCTCTCTTCAAAATGATTTCTATGGATATGTATCTGAAAATGAAAAAGATGAATACTTTGTTAATAACATTATCATAATACTAAAATTCTACATACATAAATGCAGATACAGCAAGTCTAAGTCATTATGGTCTGTATTCATACAAGAACTTGAGATGTTAAATCTCAATGGACCGAGCTAAAAAACCACAAGTAAAAAAGATCTGATCACCTCGTTCAGATAATACAACCCTCTGACAAATTATTTTATTATGTAGAATGCTAGATATATTCTGTGTTTTTTTTTTACTTGTACCACATTATGTGCAACCTCTTTGATAATAATATTACTTAAATTTCATTTTAAGAGGATTGTTATGGTAATTTGTTTAAGAATATGTTGAATGTAGGAGGTATGACAGTAGATATTTTACATGTTTATATGAATCATTGGATTCTGAGTTTGTCATTTATTCTGTTTGTTCAATAAAAATAAAAAAAGCTGAGGAACTTCCGGTCTGTGGGGCTGCAGTTCTGAGCGTGGCCCCCAGGGGGTCCCGAGCTCATAAAGGTCCTGCTCGGTTCCAGAGGTCCACTTTGGTAGAGACAGAGCTGCAGGTAAGACCTGGTCCATGTTCCTCATGAAGTCACTGTGTGGAAGTTCCGTTTAAAGACGCAGAACTTTATTTTATTCACTCTTTGTTGCTGCAGGTTTGAACTTTCTCTTTTTGTTGTCGTGAAAACCTTTAATGACGTCACAGCTGTCGTGTTGAACCTTGTCTTAAAGATTGCGCAGGAATGTATGGAAGCCCGTTGGTGCCAAAAAGAGACTTCCCGTGTTTTTCCAGTTTTAACTTTGCTATAATTTATAACGTTTGACTTTAAGTCCGTCTGTTTGTTTAAAATAATGTTGAGCAGAAAGTTCAAGAACTTGGACCTTCAGCACGAAAACCACTCCAGATGTTTTCACTTCCAAACATCTGCTCCTTCAAACCTACTGAATAATTTGAGAGAAACAAAAAGACTCTCAGCTTTTTAATGACATTTAGAAAATGTTAAAATTTCTGTTCCACCTATTAAATATTATAAATATTTCCTGAAAGACAGACGACCTTAATGTTTAACCTTGAATTGGTTTTAATCTTTTATAAAACACTTTCAAACGGTTTGGACTCTTCAGGTCGTAGAAAACACGTCTTTTAATTTAATCTGTTTTTATTCTTCTGAGGACACAAACGAAGAATAATCTGACGGATAATAGTTATTAATTCAGATTATTATTATGAACTC